AGGGGGAGGCGGGTGCCGCAGGGCCCCTCTGAGCCGCCCGGCCCCCCCAGATCGTGTACTTCACCGCAACATTCCCCTACGTGGTCCTCGTCGTGCTCCTGGTGCGTGGCGTGCTGCTGCCCGGCGCCTTGGACGGCATCATCTACTATCTCAAGCCTGACTGGTCGAAGCTGGGGTCCCCTCAGGTGAGGGCGAGGTGTTGGGGGAGTGAGGTGGGGGGCGGGCCAGGCCGCAGGGCCCCTCACATCCTCCCTTGGCCGACCCCGCGCAGGTGTGGATAGATGCCGGGACCCAGATTTTCTTCTCCTATGCCATCGGCCTGGGGGCCCTGACGGCGCTGGGCAGCTACAACCGTTTCAACAACAACTGTTACAAGTAGGTGCCCCCCCACCCCTGCCCCCCCCGCCCCGCCCCGCCCCGCCCCTGGGCAGCAGGCAGCCTGACCACCGCCCCTCTGCCCCCAGGGACGCCATCATCCTGGCTCTCATCAACAGCGGCACCAGCTTCTTCGCTGGCTTCGTGGTCTTCTCCATCTTGGGCTTCATGGCCGCAGAGCAGGGCGTGCACATCTCCAAGGTGGCGGAGTCAGGTAAAGACCCCCCCCCCCCCCCCCCCCGCCCCCGGGCCGCCGCGGCCTTGGCCTTCCGGCGCACCGCGCTCGCAGACACACGCGCCAGGGGTCATCCTGGGAGCCGGAAGAAACGGTCCCCGAACTTGGCCCGTCCCTCTGGGCCAGAGGGAGGCCCAGCTGTTCCCGAGGGCTGGAGCCTCGTGGGCCCGGCCCCGCGGAGCCTTGAGCTCCTCCTGTCCACCCGGCCCCAGGGCCTTGGCGCAGGCCCCGCCCATCTGTGAGGCCAAGGTGACCACGGAAGCCCACCGCCCCTCCCATCTGCCGGAGGGCGCAGGGCGAGAGGAGGGTCTTCCCGGGCTTCACGGGGACCTGTGACCGCAGTAGCGGCTGGAATCCGAGGCCGGGAGTCCAAGTCAGACGACCCGCCCTTAGGGGCTCGAGTGACACCCGGCAACACCTTGACCCGAGAGGCAGGGCAGGGCCCTCGGCCACGAGATGGGCTGGCGTCCATGTCCATCCCTTTGGGAAGGGGGGACGAGGAAGGCAAGCGACGATGACCGATGACCGTGGAACGCGGGTGGGGCACACCCGTGTCTGAACCCTGCCCCTTCCCCTTCAGGGCCAGGCCTGGCCTTTATCGCCTACCCCAGGGCCGTCACGCTGATGCCTGTGGCCCCCCTCTGGGCTGCCCTGTTTTTCTTCATGCTGCTGCTGCTCGGCCTGGACAGCCAGGTTTGCCAGGGGTGACAGAACATGGGGGCGGGGGGAGATGGGGGGGCAGGGGGGGGGGGGGCCGGGCCGGCGGGGGGGGGGGAGGGGCGTGGCCTCAGCGCCTGGCCACAGTTTGTAGGTGTGGAAGGCTTCATCACTGGCCTGCTCGACCTCCTCCCGGCCTCCTACTACTTCCGTTTCCAAAGGGAAATCTCTGTGGCCCTCTGCTGTGCCCTCTGCTTTGTCATCGACCTCTCCATGGTGACCGATGTGAGTGGGGCCGGGACGGGGGCTCCCCCTCTCCCCCCTGCCCGCCCCCCGCAGCTTCCATCCGCCCCGCCGCTTCCCCTGACCGGGCTCTGTCCCCAGGGCGGGATGTATGTCTTCCAGCTGTTTGACTACTACTCGGCCAGCGGCACGACCCTGCTCTGGCAGGCCTTTTGGGAGTGCGTGGTGGTCGCCTGGGTGTACGGTAGGTCTGCGGGGCCGGGTGGGGGGGAGGGGGCGTGGCCTGCAGGGGAGGTGAGGTCTCTAGCTCCAGCGCTCGTGCCCCACCCGCCCCAGGAGCCGACAGGTTCATGGATGACGTGGCCTGCATGATCGGATACCGACCTTGCCCCTGGATGAAATGGTGCTGGTCCTTCTTCACCCCACTGGTCTGCATGGTAAGGGCCAGGGGAGGCTGGGCAGGGGGAGGGACGCCGAGGGACCTCCGGCGGCTGAGAGCCGGGGTTCTCACCCGCAGGGCATCTTCACCTTCAACGTGGTGTACTACAAGCCGCTGGTCTACAACAACACCTACGTGTACCCGTGGTGGGGCGAGGCCATGGGCTGGGGCTTCGCGCTCTCCTCCATGCTGTGTGTGCCCCTCCACCTCCTGGGCTGCCTCCTCAGAGCCAAGGGGACCATGGCTGAGGTCAGTCTTCTCCCGTCCCGCCTCTCCCTTACTCCACTCCCTGCCTCGCACCGGCTCAAGGCATTCCGTCTCCGTCCCAAGGGCCCGTTCTCCCGCCCGCTAGGACGGACCGGCGCTGGGAGTCTCCGGGGCCGGCTCGGGGGAGGGGGGTGGAAGGAAGGCAGAGCCTCCGGGGCCTGAGGTCCCTGTGGGGAGAAGACGGGTCTGCCCCTTGCCCCTTACCCCTTTCCCTGGTATAGAGAGTGGGGTGTGTGGTCAGTACCCACGGGAGGAGGGCCCTTGGTCCCCCAACCGGTGGCGGGGGGGGGGGGAGTGGACAGAGGCCGAGGGCTAGCATGGGCACCTCCCCCACCCCTCCCCTCCCCGGGCCATCGCCCAGGGACTCAACGTGTCCCTCTCCCCTGCAGCGTTGGCAGCACCTGACGCAGCCTGTGTGGGGCCTCCACCACTTGGAGTATAGAGCTCAGGACTCGGATGTCAGGGGCCTGACCACCCTGACCCCAGTGTCCGAGAGCAGCAAGGTGGTGGTGGTGGAGAGCGTCATGTGACAGGCGCCCTGGCTCCCATCACCAGCTCACCCTCTTGTAGCCATAGCAGCCCCTGCTTTAGCCCCCCCCCACCCCTCCGGGGGGCTTGCCTTTCCCTGACACTTTTGGGGTCTGCCGGGGGGGGGGGAGTGGGAGGAAGCACCACGAGTGCTAAGCTAAAATAACTTTTTCCATTTTTAATAAAACGCCAAAAATACCACAACCCACCAAAAATAGATGCCTCCCCCCCACCACCACCCCCCAACGGAGCTGGTACGCACGCTGCTTCCCAGGCCCTACCGACCGCGCCCCCGCCCCATGCCCGCTGCAGCTGTGTCTCCCCCGGCCCCAGCACGCCTGCCCCTCCGGGCTGTGCCCGACGCTCCCTCGGGCGGCCCGTCCACCCCAGAGGCGGCAGTGGCAGCTGGGGGACCAGGGCGGGAGAGCCAGGGCGGCTACTTCAGCTGGGCCCCACCCCTCTTCCCGTCCCTGTTCTAGAAGCTTAGAGAGCCAGCCAGCAACGGGACCTTCCGGTTCCTGCGCCAGTTGCCACCAGTATCAGTTGTGGGAGCTTGTGTACGAATGCATGTGTGCGTGAGTATGTAGGGTGAACCTAGATCTCTTAGCCAAGGTCACTACCAGGTGTAAACTGTGCCTGTGGGCAAACGAGGCTTGTATTTTGCACATTTTATAAAAACCTGAGGAAAGAGATTCCTGCTTGTATATTTCTAAAGAGAACAGCCCGACGTCCCGACTCTCCCTGCCACTCCCGGTCCCTCTGAGCACCCCTTAGTCCTCTGCCCCAGCCAAGGAGTGTGAATTTATAAATCTAATTTTCATAGGCAAAAGCTTCAAGCTGTTGAGCGTGCGAGTCTGTCGTGTGGGTGTGCATGTGCAGTCCCGGGCCCCAGACCGGGGTGGACAGAGACTGCACGGCGGGGGCGGGGGCGGGGGCACTGCAGGAGCATCCCCCTACCCCCTCTGCCCGCAAGCCGGCAGGGTGAGATGCGGCGTCGTGACCCCCGGGGGACCTGGGGCCCCTCGCCTGGCATGCTCAGGCTCGCCCGCGCCCTGCCCCCCCTCGGCCCGGGCTGGGCCCGACTGCAGGGATCTGAGGTGGGCACCAGCCAGGGAAGGCCTGCGCCCAGGCACGGCTGCCACCTGCAAGCTTAAAGCGGATGCACCTCCCGCGTCTCAAGTCTTCCATTAGCAGCTTTAATTAACCCACGTGTGTGTCACGTCCGATCCCGAGACGGCCGAGCGGACCCTAGAAGGGCTTCCCCCACGCCGCCCCGACGTGGGTCGGAGAGGTGGGCCTGGGTGAGGGCGGGGGTCCACCGAGGACATTCTTACTGTGCTAAAAAGCCACTGCAAACATAGCAATAAAAACATGTCATTTTCCAAAGCTGGCTCCCGAGCCACCTCTGCTTGTCGTGAGGGGTTGGGGGGGCGGGGGGGGGAAGTGGGGAGGCATCCCCACCTGGAGCTGCTCCTCAGGGCGTTTGTTCCGAGGATCCGTGCGGGCGCTGTTCCAGGACCTGGGAGCGGAGCAGGTCCCGGAGCCGGCAGAGCACCTCTTCCCCACGCACCCGGTACACGGCGGGAGAGGAGAGAGAGCAGGGCAGGTGGGTAAGGGATTGATGAGAACACACAGGGAAGAACTATTTGCGGGTCAAAGTTATAGATTTCAGGCAGGATTGGAGGTGAGGATGAAAAGTGTTTTCTAAGTGTTAGGCTTGGCTCGTACTGACGTAGGCCCATCAGAGAAGAAACAGAGTGGACAGACTGACAAACGAAAAGCTATTCCCGGTGCTTTCCGCGTACCCATGGAATCTCTTTCTGGTCACTGTCACGTGCAGCCTGCTAATTCCTGTGCCTTTTATTTCCATAGAAATTTTTTCACACCTTAGATTGTGCTGTGTCCTGGGGCCCCCATACCCCCTCGTGGCCTCTGACTTTTTGGCCCTGCAGATGACCCCTCTGCACCTGGCTCCGGGGCTCCTGTCCAGCTCCCCGGATGGCTCAGTTTTTCTCCATCATTCAGCCACAGTGCAAGGTGGGCTTGGAGGGATCCCTCGGAGGGTTGGGCGCTATTTGAATGATTGCCATGAACTGGGGTGCCGGTAAGCACTGACGTGTTCCACGGTTGCTCCCCGTTTCGGGGAGGCATGGGAGGGAAGTATTTCTGCATTATACAGATCGTTCATAATGCGCAAGCATGTGTGGGCTTATATATACACAATAAATCAATAAGAAATACTGGAAGAAAATGTAGATGAGCTTTATTTGATTTTTGAATGGAAAAGCCTTTTCCAAGCCTACCAACAACGGAATAATAATAACCAGTCACATTTATTGGGCGATTACCATGTTCCAGTTGGTGCTCTACGCACTGACTATGAGTGAGCTCATCTCCTGATACACCAGCATTTTACTGCGGTTATCTTTAGTAAGTAAGATGACCGATCTTTGTTTTCTTTTCCAAACTAGCCCATATTTTCTTTATTTAAAATTTTTTTTATTTTAAAGATTTTATTTATTTGTCAGAGAGAGAGAGAGAGAGGGAGCACACACGCAAGCAGGCAGAGGCGGAGAGAGAAGCACTCTCCCTGAGCAAGGAACATGATGCGGGGCTTGATCCCAGGACCCTGGGATCATGACCCGAGCAGAAGGCAGCGGCTCAACCAACTGAGCCACCCAGGCGTCCCTATTTTCTTTATTTTTGACGGTGAGCATCAATCACCTTTGTAATCAGAACACAAATTAAGAAAGTTATTCAGCAACTGTTGTTCAGAAAAACTTCTAATTAGTTCCCAAGTGAACTACTTTGCTGAAGTTTTAATAGTTTCGTTCAATTCATCGGAGGCCAATCTTTCTTGAAAGTGCTTCTAATTGGCCCCTTTTCTTGATACGGTTAGGATTGTGATAAGGTCCCTGAAGTCTTTACCAAACCCTAGCCCCAGGCGAACCACCTTGGGGCCAGCGCAGCACAGCTTCGTCTGCCTTCAGATATTGAGCTGGTTCTAAAAAGCGACCTTTTCTGAATTGCACACGTAATGTTCATCCTTCCTGGAAAGTTATTCCTCCAGAGGACAAAAGGTAGTTTGCTTCATCAGCATCTCATCAATATTACATGAAGAAATCTTTTGCTTTTCTCCCCCTTCCAAGTACTCTGCACACGTGCACATATGTGTGTGAACACAGTAAACACAGGCAGCAAGACACTCAGGAGGGCTCAGCCCCCCATGGCCCTCTTCTCTGTAGTGCCCACACCAGGCTGTGTAGCAGTCATGGCCTTCGTGTTTGTGAGGCACAGAAAACTTGCTTGGAATGTAGTAAATTTATCTATCTATCTATTCATTTATGATTTTATTTACTTGACATGAAGAGAGAGCGAGAGAGAGCGCAGAAGCAGGGGGAGAGAGAGGCACAGACAGAAGCAGGCTTCCTGCTGAGCAGGGAGCCTGACGTGGGGCTCGATTCCAGGACCCTGGGATCATGACCTGAGCTGAAGGCAGACACTCAACAGACTGAGGCACCCAGGCACCCCCCTTTTTTGGTAGTAAATATGTGAGAAACACGTAAGGCCTGGTCTGTAATGACTATGGTTAAGAGGTGACAGGGCAGGGCATAAGGAAGGTGACGGTTAAATCATCATGGATCTCTGCCAGTTCCAGATAGTCAACATTTTTCTTGAATTCCCGAGCTCTGAGTCAGTTAGCCACCCAAACCAGGACATTCTGTAGGCCCCCAGAAGCCAACCAGCCCCTACTGACCTCACTATACTTCCCCCACTCCCCAAATGCTTCCGTCTCCTAGTGCTGTCTTGATGACAGGTGTTTCCACAGCCGCTCATGTTCTGATGTCATCTCCCATCCAGTGAATCCCCTCAAACGCGTCCCAGCCATCCTTCCTAGGCCACCCTAGGCCACGCTGGCATTTTCTCTCACCTTACGGATTCCTTGGCGCCTTCCCTCTGGGAACGTGCCCCAGCCCAGACTGCTGGGGAGGGTAGCGGGCTGTCACTATTTCACCTCTGACCATTCCCTGCCCCACACCCCTGCAGGGGCCCTGTGACCGCGGAGCTCTCCCTCCTCGCCAGGGTACTCTGTGCTGCCTGGAGTGGGGGGACTTCCTGTCCTTGCCCCTCCCCGTCCCAGGCTGGAAGCACACGCGCACGTGGGTGTGTATGTGTGTGTGCACGGGGCCGCCTGGGTTAGTGCTGTCACTTCCTCCTCTCACAGAGAGCAAGGCCACGGTGTATGGGAACCTGAGGCTGTGCTTCTGCCTGTGACGCTCTCATCGGAGTTGCCTTCAGTGAGAACGCGAGCAAGACAGTCATCAAAAAGGGGTCATGGACTAAATGCTCCTTGAGTTGGGCCTTAAAGGAAGAGTGGAGGTTAGAGCTATGGCACAGATGCCACAGAGCATTCTGAGCAGGCGGGTTACTTGGGCAAAGGGCCTCATTGGGGCGCCTGGGGGGCTCAGTCGGTTGAGCATCTACCTTCAGCTCAGGTCATGATCCCAGGACCCTGGGATCCAGCCCCACATCGGGCTCCCGCCTCGGAGGGGAGCCTGCTTCTCTGTGTCCCTCTGCCCCTCCTCCTACTCCTTCTTTCTCTCTCTTTAAACAAAAAGGAGGCTCATCAGTACCTTTACCTCTTAAAACTCTTTATTACGGCAGTTATATGGGTACACACAGGCGAGAGAATAGGATTGGAAACCCCCACCTTCCCTTCACCCAGCTTTAGCACTTGTCAACATTTCACTGGCTTACTTTGAAAGCACGAGAGGATTAAGGGGAGAGAGCTGCAGGGTACCTTTCCGGAAGTGAGAAAAGAAGAGGCACCCGGATAAGGTTGTCCAAGTGCAGGCGCGCCCATGCACCCTTTAATAAGGGCATCGCATGGTCCTGACGCACAGCGGGTGACACCAGCAACAGTCTTGCTCCCTCTGTCCCTGGAGCTACATGGATTTGGTTGGGCCATGTGGCAGAGTGGAGGGGCCCGGCCTGCCCTGGGCCGTGGCTAACCACTGTGGCTGTGCATTCAGCACTGTGTGTGCCGGGCGCCAGGCGAGGGTCACTTTCTAGGCGTTGCGCGTAGCTTTCAGCAGACCTTTGTTAGCTCTGTACCGTCACCACGAATTTCTTGAGCAGAGACTCCAGGCGACTCTTTTCTGTTGTCACCATGTTCTCTCAGCGACTTGCAGTCACACTGACCAAAGAGCAGGGAGGGCCGGGCACTAGGAAAGTGATCCGCATGGTTCCTTCCCCCCAAGATCTGCCGCTTTCATTGCGGGGTGCTCCATCCGGTGGCTCTGAGGGCCTCTTTGGGGTGGAAAGTGAGGTCATCGCCTAGCACCATAAACAAGACAGTAAGAGCCGTGAACCGAAGCGAGCAGGCAAGGTCGGAGACATGCACTTCGAGCCTAGGGCAATGATGCTGACGGAACGCAGAGTCTAGAAGGAGGCGCTCACGGTGTTGGGCTTGTCAAGGTCCTAGGCCCCTTCCTTCCTGACCTTTCTAACACCATGTGGGTGTTCATAGGTATGGTGCTGGTTACTCCTTTCTGTGAATGAATAGTCTGTGACCATTGCATTAAAATAAGTTATCTTGGGACGCCTGGGTGGCTCAGTCGGTTAAGTGTCTGCCTTTGGCTCAGGTCATGATCCCAGGGTCCCGGGATCGAGGTCCACGTCTGGCTCCCTC